GATTAAGATTAAGATGAAAGGCTAAAAGTCCTAATCATTATGTTATCCATCCAGGTCAAAAGTTGCACCAAAATATGCATCATTTGGAGACACTGACAAATTTGGAGAGTTTTCTAAAAAAACAAATGCTACTTTAAAGGGTATATAACCTAATATCTTGTGCATGGATGATTTATTTTCATTGAATGTCCTCTACGTTAATAGTATTATGGCGTGTTAAGGACCGACTAGGAGAAGTACAATAAAAAAGGAAAGCATTAAACCAATTTGCATTCGATTTACGAGAAAATTCAATTCACAGTCGCTATATGACAACTCTAACTAGCTAGTAAAGGATCACAAGGGGATAAACCAACCTAAGTTGTTTATACTTTATAGTTGATCACCGGCTCAAATCGAGAAGATCAATAGGCAGCTCGCTCAGGAAGTCAAACTTAAAACTTTACGGTTACCAAGTCAACTGCACTACTAACTCAATTGAGTTGTCTCTAAATGAACCAAGTTACTAGGTGGCGTTAGTATGTAGATGATGTTGTTATATATAATTATATATGATATATAAGTACATGATGAATTGAAATACTCCGTTTGCGTTCCGTTGTGGAGCCGAAATCTTATATTGTTGAATATATTTATGTATTATTGTAAAGAATTTCAGTAGTTCATGCAAATTAAATGGTGTGGGTATGTATATGTATATGAATAGAAAATTATGATTCAAGAGTTAAGGTATTATGATGTTAGTGGCGTGCACTTGTCTAAGGGGGGTGTATTCAATCATGACTTTTGTAGAGTTTTAAAGACTTTTAAAATGATAGATTTTAATAAACTTTGATTGACTTTCGTAGAGTCGTTCAAAACTTTTTAAAACTTTATAAGACTCTCTAAAAGTCTATACAAAAAACATTCATAGACTTTTATCAACTTTTTATTTTAAAAAGTCTACAAAAGTCATTGAAATTCTAAATTGAATACATCCTTACAAACTTTCAATGATTTTTATTTTTATCATTTACAATTTTCTTACAAAACATTAATTCGCTATACGTAGTAACCTGTTGTTAAAAAGAAAAAAAAGAAAAATATATATTACGAATATAAACATAAAAATAATAAAAATCAAAAAATATATAAGTATTTATATGAATATTATGAAACATATATTAAAATTTGACGATGAAAAATTTGCTTTGTTCATGTATTTAGGGAGAATTAGAGATAGTTAGGGATAAAAAATTCATAGAAAAAAATAAAAACCAATATAAACAAGCAATAATGAAGCACAAATAATATTATTTCGAATTTTTAGATGAAGATTTTAAAGTTTAGGAGAGAAAAAAATTGGTAGAGTTTAGGTATGACGAAAATATAGGATAATGAAGAAAAAATAATTTTATTGAATTTAGATAGGTTTATAGAGTTTAAATAGGGGAAAAATAGAGTTTAAATAGAGAGAGAAAACATTCAAAGTTGTTAGAAAGAAAATTTGAAATCTTGGGGTTGAGGGTTGGATTTCAACTATTTATATTTGACTAGGAAAAGTCTACAAAAGTCTTAAAATTAAAAAGTCTACAAAAGTTCATAACTTTTTGAATACCACATGACTTTTAAAGACTCTTTAAAAGTCTTAATCGAATACCACATGACTTTTAAAGACTCTTTAAAAATCTTGATTGAATACCGCCTAACTTTTAAAGACTCTCTAAAAGTTTGAATTGAATACCTCCAAACTTTTAAAGTTCATAAAAGTCTTTAAAACTCTATGAAAGTTATGATTGAATACACCCCCTAAGAATAATAGTGTCATTATCAAAATAGTCACGTATGCACTTAATTTAATCCATTTTAAATATGGGAACTAATAATAGTGGTGATGGAACTAATTAACCTTGTTATATGTGGGTCAACTAAGTTTGCATAAATAAAAGAGGGTAAAATGATAAAAGTAAGTAATTGTAATAGTATTTTGAGTGGATAAATGTTCTTATAGAAGTGTGAAATTTCAACTGTACGTACAACGATCGCAACTCCCTCTTTGTTGAACAAGATAGAGTTAGTTCAACAACAAGATCAGACAAGAAAGTAAACAAATATAACGGTCTTAATCGCCTTGGTCCGGATCGCCTTGCTGGGCCTAGACTATCTTTGTTTGGGTTGTCTTCCCTGAGCTCGGGTGAACTCCTTGGGCCGATTTCATATCTCCATCATCAACGTAGCCCCCACTTTCGAGTTGCGAGACATCATCAACAAGAGAGAGTAAATGCTTGCACTGATAAAAAATTGCGGACACCACCACAAATCCCTTGTAATCTTTGGTGGGGGACGACGATGACGTGGACGCGGCGAAGGAGACTCGAACGACATGTATTGTGGGCTCTTGGTAATGCCAATGGGTCCCGGGGACCAATATGTCTTTCCCCCTTTGGTGCACATCCACGTTAGCGATTATTAATCGTTCTTGGCCAATCCTTCTTGAACCACGCACAGTGACCGGGCACGGGGAGTCCGAGGGTGGTGCCATTCATGAGACTCACTGAGATCAGAGGACCCTTGACAGTCCGGATGACCTCTCACTTGCTTATTTTGTGTGCCTTCGGGCTAATTATCATCCTCATATGTATGCCTCTACGCTAAATATTTGGAAATTCTACTTTGTGAACTTTTGCTTTCGGACTAACTTGAATGGAAATATGTTATTTATCCCAACACCTTTTATGCTTGCATCCTTAGCCTTGCAATTTATTTTGTGATCTCAGTCCTCTCCATCCGGGCGACGCCGTGGTCCGAATACAATGGCATGGGGATTGGGGTGTATGTATGTATGTATTATATATTTATTTTTATTTTAATTGATTAAATATTTATTTATTTATTTTGATTATAATTCATATTTACTATCAAACAAAGAGACTCATTATAATTACTAAGACCATTATGATTCCAAAGTTTGAACTAAACATGTGTTAATTATGCAATTGTGCGCATGTTTGCATACCAGCAAATCAAACGACACATATTTTCTTAACGTCGTTGATCCTATGAGTACTAATAGGTCTTGAAGCTTGTCTCCTCCGAATGGTATGGTCTGTGTTCAATCGGTTAACCGAATCATTTTAATCGGTGGCGCCGCCTCATCCGTCGGTTCAGCTCAGCCGCTACGAGGCGCAGAAACGCCGTGACTGGAACACGTTCGGGCTGTACTTGAAGAACCAGCGGCCGCCGGTCCCACTTCTCCTCTGCAATTACAATCATGTCCTCGATTTCCTCCGGTGCCTCGACCACTTCGGGTAGACCCGGATTTTGGGCTGTGCAAGCTGGGCTACAGCATAGGGCCCCAAATTTTAGAGGGGCCCCAAATTTTAGAAGCTCAATATTTTATTTTTACCTAGTTAGTATAGTAATAAAAATTAAACGTTTTTAATTAAACCTAAAATGCTTTATAAAAAAATGGTAGGAACATGTATTTATTGTATTTTAACTTTGAGGTCTAAGGTTCAAAACTTGTGCACACTATTATTATTATTCCATAATATGTCTATTTTTACTTGTGCGTTGCACGGAAAAGATTTGTTATAATCTTTAAATTATAACAACGAATATTATATAGTGCAATTGATGAAATGGGTTGTATCGAATATGTTTTTTATGTTATCCTTGCTTGAATTCGAGCAAATAATTGCCCATTATCCGTGCAGTGTGCGTGCGATGCACGGATAAATTTTTTGTGTTATATATTTTGGTAATAAAATTACGGTATTTGTTTTAAACATTTTAATTTTGGTAGGGCCTTATTTATTTACTCAAACAGGGCCACAAAAATTTAAAAATCGGCCCTGAGTTCGGGGGTTCACTTACAAGGCTGCGTGTACTTCGGGGAGCCGAAGCCGGCGGGGCCTGCACTTGTCCCCTTCGCCAAGCGTGGGGCAGCCCTTGAACGCGCTCATCGGACGCTTACGCGCCGCCTTCGAGGAGAACGGCGGCTTGCCGGAGAGAAACCCCTTCGCCGATAACGCCATCCGCCTCTACCTCCGTGAAGTCAGAGACGCTCAGTCTAAGGCCCGAGGAATCCCCTACAAGAAGAAGAAAAATAATACTAATAATAATAATGCCCTCCCGAAGCCTAATAATGACGAAACGCCCAACTTCCAGATGCAATCCTCTATTCCTCTTGATCTCTCCCTCCAGCTTTCAGGGCGAAAATGGTAAAACTCTTCCTCTCATCTCCTCCCTTCTATTAATCAATGATGTTTTTTTGAAAGCTTAATTAATGATGTTAATTAGCACGAAGCTCAGCTTTCTTAATTCATATAAATATAGTAATTAATAATATTATTTTCTTTTCGGATTAAACTAAAATATTTTTAATGTAAGGTTTTTGCTTCTTGCAGACAAGAACATTTGATCTAGCTTTGGTTATCAGCGTCCCGTGCGTTTAAAAGCTTTGTCTATTTTTTTTTTTCTGAAACAATTAAAAAGCTTTGTCTATTAATATTTGAGAAAATGGTCAAATAGACCCTTAAACTTTACTCAAAATGGCAATTAAGCCCCTAAACTTTAAAAAAGAGCAATTAAACACTTAAACTTGTCATTTTGAAGCATCTAAACCCAGTAGCCGATTATTTACCTGAAATAATAGGTCATTTAAAATTCCGGCGAAAAAATAATATTCCCGGCGACATTTTTTTTAAGCCTTCCACAGGAGAAGACAACCAACACCTCTGGTCGTCCTCTCCAATGGAGAAGACGACCGAAAATTGCTTCGACGATTTTTTTTTTTTTTTTTTTTGGATTTTAGCGGCGGTCAACAATGATTTCCGGTAGTCAAAAGCAATAATTTACCTGTAACTTGTTCGTTACCAGTAAATTGGACTTATTTGACTTAAAATAACAAATTCGAGTGTTTAATTGTTTTTTTTTTAAAGTTCAAGAGCCTAATTATCAATTTTGAATAAAGTTTAGGGATTTATTTGACCCTTTTCTCCTAATATTTCAGTTAAAGATATCTTTAATCTTAGTGTGGTGAAGACAGTAAACCAGTCATTCACATTGCTCCAATAGAAGCCCTAATCATCCGCATATATAAAGCGTTTGATGGCCTCATCTCAGCAGAAAAAATAGAGTGCTAACAGATGAGCAACCCAGCAAGAAACCAGTCAAATACACCCCCCAAAAAAGTCCTATAATCACGATTTCATTCTAGTCTGCTGTGAATTGCTGTTTTTATATTCAAATGGTTTCATATATGAGTGATTTTAGGTATTGGTTTCATTTCAAGGATGTTATTAAACTCAAGAGGCGGAACCAAGCTCTTCGGATCCGGTCGCGATTTCACAGAATTTATTCATTTTAAAGGTATGCTCTGTTTTAACTTTCTCTATGTTAAATGTTTCAGTAGAGTAGCAAAATGTGATATTTTTTCCCCTTATGCAAGTAAGTTCAAACTTGCAAAGAGTCAAAGACTACCCAAAAAGATATAATGGGAGTGTTTAGTTAGTGGCTGACTCAACTTGGCTGTTTAGCCAATGAATAAGTTAATTTGGAGTGTTTGGTGAATGGCTGATTGGCCCATATAAAACGCTATAACACCGGTGTTTCTCATCAGCTTATGCTCAGCTCACCTTCAACAAAGAATGGAATGGAAGAGCATTATCAAAGAGCACAAGAGGAACAACGCGGAGTGAGCAAATGGAACAAATGGAAGCACTCTGAGAGCAATTCAATAGGTTCTACTGTCTCCGATCCACTCTAGCTTGTCCTCGGTCCTCTCGCTGTGGTTAGTTCATCCCCTCCATATATCTGTTTTCTCACAATTTGGCAGTACTATATAATCCAGTACTAATGAACTGTTTTTATACAGTACTAATAATGAACTCCATATATAATCCATTATATAGTAGTAATGAATTCCATATATCACTGCTTCTAATCCATTGTTCTGTTATTTAATGACAAATGCCCCTTTTTTGTTGGTTTTCTCCCACTGCCGTATGAAAATGCATCTTTTTTTTGTTTGTTTGTTTTTTCCAACCGCCATCATCATTAGCTGAATTGCAAAATCAAAGATTAAAATGTGCTTTCTTTGTCAGTATGCATTTTCATCTCTCATCTCTCTTTCTTTTTGATTTTGAAGTAGTACTGCGTTTTAAAACTTATTTGGCAACATATAATTAAACTGTGTGAATTTATATATCTTTGTGGTTTATTGAGGTGAATATATATGAATAAATGTGATGCTTATCTTTGATTGTCACCCATACCCGGTGACATATGAAGTATTGGCCACACCGGAGATGAAGCTCATAAACAACTGGACGGATAAGGTCATCAAATTCCAAGCATTTGGCAAATAGCACAACCCAAGAATGGGGTTCTATAGGGCAAGGGAGACGATGACCGCATGTTGGATGACATTAAGTTTATTCCGATTCGGGAGTTTTGGGAGGAAATTACAAATGGAGGGGAGTCGTATTAAGCACTGACGGAGTAAGTCTAAGGTTACCGCACTGACGGAGTAAGTCTAAGGTTACCGCACTGACGGAGTAAGTCTAAGGCTACCGCACTGACGGAGTAAGTCTAAGGCTACCGCACTGCGCGGAGTAAGTCTAAGGCTACCGCACTGAGCGGAGTAAGTCTAAGGCTACCGCACTGCGCGGAGTAAGTCTAAGGCTACCGCACTGCGCGGAGTAAGTCTAAGGCTACCGCACTGCGCGGAGTAAGTCTAAGGCTACCGCACTGCGCGGAGTAAGTCTAAGGCTACTACACTAAACACTCCCACTAAAAACGAGCTTTAAAAACCACCTCTTCTCATGGAGCACTAGATTGAAGTTAATGTAGGAATTGTGTTGGCTATTGCAAGTTGAATTGGAATCATAGTGTAGGAAATTTGGGGCAAAATTGCTTGAAGATCCTATTCACTTACTCCATTTTGTTTGCTTGGTTTCATGCTATCCTTGTGAGTTTGAATTGTTAGAATTGTGAATTTGAAATGGGGTTTACTTTTTCTTCCATCCAAATTGTTTGCAAGTCCTATTCCCTTTCCCATATTGTTTTCCCCTCTTGTTGCTATCTTTGTGGTGAATAAGGTTGTTTGCTAGGGACACAAGGTCGTCGGAGTTCTAATCTAGGGACACAAGCTTTCTGTAAATGACCTGCGTAGTTTTTCTATAAATGACTTTCTACAAAACAAAAAAAAAAAAACAAACAAACAAAAGGTCATAAACATGTTAGGGCCTTTTTGCACGTTGTTTACAACTAACCTTTCTTGTCTTGGACTTCTTGATTTTCTTTTGGTGCAGGAAAAGCACGTGCAAGAAGGTAACGGTCGTTCTTAAGTCTAAGGCTACTGCACTGAGCGGAGTAAGTGTAAGGCTACCGCACTGAGCGGAGTAAGTCTAAGGCTACCGCACTGAGCGGAGTAAGTCTAAGGCTACCGCACTGTGCGGAGTAAGTCTAAGGCTACCGCAATGCACGGAGTAAGTCTAAGGCTACCGCACTGCGCGGAGTAAGTCTAAGGCTACCGCACTGCGCGGAGTAAGTCTAAGGCTACCGCACTGTGCGGAGTATGTCTAAGGCTACCGCACTGTGCGGAGTAAGTCTAAGGCTACCGCACTGTGCGGAGTAAGTCTAAGGCTACCGCACTGAGCGGAGTAAGTCTAAGGCTACCGCACTGAGCGGAGTAAGTCTAAGGCTACCGCACTGAGCGGAGTAAGTCTAAGGCTACCGCACTGCGCGGAGTAAGTCTAAGGCTACCGCACTGCGCGGAGTAAGTCTAAGGCTACCGCACTGCGCGGAGTAAGTCTAAGGCTACCGCACTGCGCGGAGTAAGTCTAAGGCTACCGCACTGCGCGGAGTAAGTCTAAGGCTACCGCACTGCGCGGAGTAAGTCTAAGGCTACCGCACTGCGCGGAGTAAGCTACCGCACTGTGCGGAGTAAGTCTAAGGCTACCGCACTGTGCGGAGTAAGTCTAAGGCTACCGCACTGAGCGGAGTAAGTCTAAGGCTACCGCACTGAGCGGAGTAAGTCTAAGGCTACCGCACTGTGCGGAGTAAGTCTAAGGCTACCGCACTGCGCGGAGTAAGTCTAAGGCTACCGCACTGCGCGGAGTAAGTCTAAGGCTACCGCACTGCGCGGAGTAAGTCTAAGGCTACCGCACTGCGCGGAGTAAGTCTAAGGCTACCGCACTGCGCGGAGTAAGTCTAAGGCTACCGCACTGCGCGGAGTAAGCTACCGCACTGTGCGGAGTATGTCTAATGCTACCGCACTGTGCGGAGTATGTCTAAGGCTACCGCACTGAGCGGAGTATGTCTAAGGCTACCGCACTGTGCGGAGTAAGTCTAAGGCTACCGCACTGTGCGGAGTAAGTCTAAGGCTACGGCACTGTGCGGAGTAAGTCTAAGGCTACCGCACTGTGCGGAGTAAGTCTAAGGCTACCGCACTGTGCGGAGTATGTCTAAGGCTACCGCACTGAGCGGAGTAAGTCTAAGGCTACCGCACTGTGCGGAGTAAGTCTAAGGCTACCGCACTGCGCGGAGTAAGCTACCGCACTGTGCGGAGTATGTCTAATGCTACCGCACTGTGCGGAGTATGTCTAAGTGCGGTGCGGAGTAAGTCTAAGGCTACCGCACTGAGCGGAGTAAGTCTAAGGCTACCGCACTAAACACTCCCACTAAAAACCAGCATTAAAAAGCACCTCTTCTCATGGAGCACTTGATTGAAGTTAATGTAGGAATTGTGTTGGCAATTGCAAGTTGAATTGGAATCCTAGTGTAGGAAATTTGGGGCAAAATTGCTTGAAGATCCTATTCACTTACTTCATGTTGTTTTGCTTGTTTTCATGCCATCCTTTTGAATTTGAAATGGGGTTTACTTTTTCTTCCATCCAAATTGTTTGCAAGTCCTATTCCCTTTCCCATATTGTTTTTGCCTTTTGTTGCTATCTTTGTGGTGAATAAGGTTGTTTGCTAGGGTCACAAGGTCGCCGGAGTTCTAATCCAGGGACACAAGCTTTCTGTAAATGACCTGCGTAGTTTTTCTGTAAATGACTTTCTAAAAAAAAAAAAAAAAAGCAAACAAAAGGTCATAAACATGTTATGGCCTTTTTGCATGGTGTTTACAACTAACCTTTCTTGTCTTGGACTTCTTGATTCTCTTTTGGTGCAAGAAAAGCACGTGCAAGAATGTAACGGTCGTTCTTAAGGTGTGTGATTTTTCTTTTTAAGGTGTATGGTCTGTCAGCCTCAGATCAACTACTATTTAAGGAAAATTCGTCACCTTCGATCTTCAACAATGTTAAGGTGCATGGTCGGTCAGCCTTAGATCAACTACTATTTAAGAAAAATTCGTCACCTTCGATCTTCAACAATGTTTTGCGAAAGACACAATAATGTGCTCTAGAAGGCACAAAAATGTGCACTGAAAGGGATAAAGATGTGAAACAATTATTGAAAATACCAAATTTAATATAGGATATTCGACACAAATCATAAAAGAGCAAACACGATTCAACTCAAATTAGTAATTTGTGATCAAATTAACTTAACTTTTTTTTTTTTTTTTAAAAGTTTGCTATCTACGACATGTTGGTACAAGTGATTACTGTTTAAATAAAGTTTATAGTTAAAAACGACATTAATATTTGGTTTATTCTTCTTGAATAGGAAGAAAAGTTTGTAGAGAAACCATCGCATGTAGCGTAGTAATGGTAAGATACTAAGCAACTCTATAGCCCTAAGTTTTCATTTTTATTCCAAGTTACTAATTATATAGAACAACTTTTGGTTTATTAAATGAGGCACATTTGCTTTGGATAGACTTTTTACTTATAAATTTCTTGCATTGTTTTACCCAATATTACCTCAACATACATTTTTCAGTTCATTTGGTTAGCACTTTAAGAAGCATGTTGGTTTTGTGCCATTGCCTTGATTGATTATGAGTAGAAAATTTGATAAATTGTCTTAGCTTTGAGCTCTTTAGCTTATTCATATTGTTTTCATTTGAAATACTATTTTCTGCCTTTCTTACGATTTGGTATTCAGAGATTCATTGATTTCATTGAGAGGTCCATTTGTGTCATTTCCTTCAAAGTGATGAGAAGTGCTTGATTGTTTGTTTGCAAGAATTTAGAATGAATAGTAATGCTTTCTTTTATATATATGTGTATATATATATATATATATATATATATATATATATATATATATATATATATATTATAAGTTTAAAAAATGTCTATCAATATAGGAGGTTGTAACTCAAATACAACAAACTCAACTTGAGCTTGGAGATTCAATTGCATGGTACAAGGCAGCCGGTGGTCTCAAGAATGGAGGATGTGTTTTGGGATTTGGCTGTGAGACAAAAGAATTCAAAATTTGGACAATCATCTACACATGTAGCTTGTGAGGAACAAATTAAGCAATTAAAGGAAGAGCACAAGTGGATCATGGACAAATTTCAATGGCTCGAATCTCAAATTGTTGCACTTAGTGGTGTAAATCCGCATTTCAACTACTTGCCATGAAAGCAATGGTGTTGCGCTAGATGATCTCGATTGAATGATGGCACACAATATCTTTTGCAAGCGGAATAAAGATTCTCTGATGACACGCTCAATCATTATATCTTAAATCATGGTCCATCTTATAAGATAAATATTTTATACAAATTTATTTTTAATATTATATATATATATATATATATATATATATATATATATATATATATATATATATATATATATATATTAAATTAGTAATACACTAAAAGTGAATATATATCAAAATATAATTAATCTAATTTCCTGATAGTAAACTAAAAGTGAACTTGTAATATATATAAAATAAACTTGGATCATGTTCTATTTTGCAATATTACCCATGAGTCCACGATATAATTTATGACAAATGTAGATCCTGGTCCAAAACAATATTCAATTAACATATTATATATATTCATTTAATAAATTATGTATTTATAAATAAATTGAATGTACATAATATGTTAATTATAATATGTACCTAATAAGTTACTTGCAAGTACATAATATGTCAGCTACATGTACATAATGTTTTAATTGTAATATGTACATAATTAATTAATGAGAAAATTTCAATTTTGGTCCACTGCTTATTGGGGTTGTGTTAATTGCAACACTCAAAAATGTTAATTAAGTACCTTGACTATGCAGTTTCTTTCAATTTTGGTCACTCTGGCCAAATTACCGGTCAAATCTCATCGAAAATTTTTAATAGGTCAAATAATGAGGACTTTTTTGGTCATTTTACTTTTTCCCTTTCTTCCCCGGCGAGCAACTCCATTAGCGGAAACACTGAAATTCGCGTCCTGGAGGTTGAAATTCTGGGATACGAAAGGGGAGAAATGCAAACGAACCAAATGGGTAATTTTTCGGGTTACTGTCATTGCCAAAATTGCTTTAGCTTTTCTCTATGATTGTTGTGTTTTCCTTTTAATGGACTGTAGATAAATGATTGGTCCCACTTTATTGATTTATTTTGTGTGATTGAGCTGTGTTAATGAATGGAAATGTGCAAATAATGGGTGGTGATTGAGCTTTGAAGTTCCTTGGAATACGAAATACTTGGGTTTAGGTTATAGAATTGATACTCTGTAAGCAAACTTTGTGTTTTTGGATGAGTTGAAGTTTTGCTTTTCAACAGGAAATCAGGGGAGAATTGATAAGTTAAACCGGCGACCAACTTGGGGAATATTGTTTCGGGATGAACGTCGTCAAAGTGATGAAGTTCTGGAAAGCATGCAAATCAAATTAAGGGAAGGTTGCTCGCCGGAAATGGAGTTACTCGCCGGAGAAAAAAGGGAAAAAGTAAAATGACCAAAAAAAACCCTCATTATTTGACCTATTAAAAATTTTCGGTGAGATTTGACCGGTAATTTGGCCGAAGTGACCAAAATTGAAAGAAATTGCATAGTTAAGGTACTTAATTAACATTTTTGAAAGTCAAGTGTTGCAATTAACACAACCCCAATAGTCAGTGGACCAAAATTGAAATTTTCTCTTAATTAATTGAATGTATATAATATGTTAACTGTAGGTATATAATCTTGACATGATCCAATTGTTGGATAGTTATGTTGTGCATCCGTATGCACCATGCATGTTGCATACGGATGCCAAAACGACGTCGTTTTATTAAAAAACGCGCGTCTCTCCTTTAAAAAAAATTCAGGTTCGATTCCCAGCAACAACATTATATTGTTCATTCATTCTGGAATTTTAGTTCATAGATTATGGAATTATAGTTCATTGATTATGGAATTATAGTTCATCGATTATGGAATTGTAGTTCATCGATTCTGAAATTTTAGTTTATAGATTATGGAATTTTAGTTCATTCATTCTGAAATTTTTAGTTCATAGATTAGATTATGGAATTATAGTTCATCGATTATGGAATTATAGTTCACTGATTATATAATTTTAGTTCATATGTTGTTGCTTGGAATCAAACCTGATTTTTTTTTTTTAAGAGGAGACGCGCGTTTTATTAAAACGACGTCGTTTTTGCATCCGTATGCACCATGGTGCATACGGATGCACAGCATAATTTGCCCCAATTGTTATACTATGGATTAGAGTCTAGCTTTTATTGTGAACCCTGATCCAAAAAATATGTATATGCACAGCATAATTAACACATTGCTGGAAATTATGAAATTTTCAACCACCTGAAAGTGATCTTAAATCAAGTCGAAAAAGCTTTGTTCCGACCACTTTTTGTATCCGAAAATATCTTTGTTGCTATTTCCGATCACTTTTTACTTTCGACTTGATTTAAGATCACTTTCAGGTGGTAGGGAATTCTATAATTTCCAGCCGTGACATATTATATGTCTTCGGTTGATAAATTATGTGCATGTCTTCGGTTAATAAATTGTATACACATAATACGTTAATTACATTATGTATTTGCAGTTAACATATTATGTGCATGTAGTTCACATATTATGTTTTCAATTTATTTACAAGTATATAATATGTTAATTACACATGCATAATAAGTTAAATACATACCTAATATGTTAACTACACATACATAATAAGTTAACTGTAAATATATAATCTGAATGTTATTTTCGAACAAAATTCACAATGCAAAACGTTAATCCAAAGGTTCATCAATCCATAGTATAATTTACCGACATGATTTATCATGTGCATGAATCCTAGTCAACAAACATAACAATTGATCATTTACCGTGGCAGGGGGATGAAGGGTTTCTAGGCCCATTAGAAGCAGGATGGAACATGGGCCCGACATGAGGCCCGACAAGGAAGCGGAAAAACAAATAGCTCCACGTGTGGTGGGGTCCAAGACTAGGAAGTTTGAAAGTGAGGTCAACGTCAACATTTTATTTTCCGACTTTGCCACACGTGCTAATCCACATATCTAGTCAACAACATATACATCTTTAATTAATTCACTCAATTTTGGTGTGAATTATTATAATGTTACCAAAATCAATCAAGTGTTTTTCCCCTACTAAAAATAATGTTATTCCTTTAAAAAAAATCATGTTATAAGTTACAATATAATGGATCTTTAATTATTTATTTATTACAATATAATTATAATTAAAATGTATATAAAAAAAATACTCCATAATAAATTCACTAGAACACTCATCTATCAATTAGTTTCATAAAAGAAAAAAAAAAAAGAACTATTTTATTTTGAGTAGTTATCATTTCATATTATGTTTTTATATAACGACTTGTGTAAAACCGTCTCACATGAAACATATATAAAATATGTAATACCTATTATTAAAAACATAATACTTTTTTATAGCTCTACATGTATTACATTTTTACTGAAAAGTATTATTATTTTTTTAAAAAAATATTAGTGAAAATGTAATACTTGTTGATTTATATAAAAAAATTATATTGTTATATATTTGAAAGTTTTCTTTAAGTAAGACAATTTTATACCATACCAACCAAACTTTATATTATCTTATGGTTAAGATTTTTTTTTTTTTTTTTTAAATCTAAATTGAACTTGGCCAGATGAAAATCGAGCCATCTTTGTCTAGTAGAAAAAAAGCAGACAAAGACACCCACTATTTTCTTCATCAAGTTTTTCTACGGAACAGACATGTTTAATTTTTTTATTTTTTTATTTTCATATTTAAAAAGAACTTTGTTTATATTTCTTTTTATAGAAGAATAAATCCATGTCAAATCATAGCCTAATCAGCACCAACTCAACACTAACTGATAGCTAATTTGCTTAATTGTACTTTCTCATTGAGTTTTGTTTGTTTTTCTTCTAATGTTTATTTATTTTATTTATTTTAACACTATTGACTCACTTTTTCTAAAGTTTAAGAGCTCAATTACACTATAACTCAAACTTCAAACCTTATGTGGCCCTTATTGCTCATTAATTGTATTATTATATGTCTCAAAGTTGTACTCACGATTTCCTAACATAATGACTGACCATGGGTCTTTACGCAATTTATACTATGTACTATATATGATTCATTGCAATGTATATCACTGATAAATGTTTATTTTTAGTATACTGAATGTTCATTTTTAATGTACTAAAAATTTATTTTTATGTAGTATATCAAATAATGAATCTTAAAAAATTGAGCATTCAATATATTAAAAATGAACGTTATGTTAGTGGTCCACAATATGATAATTTGAGTTTTTTTTTTGAGATCTTTTAATTAAAATTTTTTCAAATGTAATTAATAAGAACCCCCGTTATGAGATTCTCAAGCTAGTTCATCTATATGGTTATCTTCTATTCTTCATCGTATTCAACATTTCTTTTCTATACTATAATGTTATGTTTCTTTCAAAAAAAAATAAGAGGCCCCGTAGAAGAAAATATATCTTTATGGACCGACCAACAATTTTCTTTGATAAGTTTTTGTAATGGGAAGAAAAGGAGTGTTATTTGGAAGTGATGTCAGATGTGGTAATCTGCGCTTGGGGTGCCTCTAAAAAAGGCTTTAAATGTAGAATAGTGACATTTCACGTGGGCTTTGCGGCCAAAAATGGGTTAGTTTGTGGTGAGTGGCTTATGAGATTGAGGTGTGGTTTAATAAAAAATAGAGTAACATTGTTGAAATCTTGTACTTTTATGAACATCAAAGTCCCACACTACCTTCCCCCAATACTTATTGAGTATTTGAGTGGATCATGGTTCACATAACTGTATACATTACGGTTCAAAAATGACATCGTTTTGTATAAATTTTTTCGCGCAACTATACATTTTTATAACTCATAATATACATTATTTTAAAACATAATGTATATTATTTTATCACAGAAGTTTCATTATTTTAAAACATAAAATTCAATGACGTCATTTTGAACCGTGGTCCATACAACAATAATTTGCCACCTTCCCCATCATGCTTTCGCTT